AATAAAAATATCCAACAGGGCTGTAAAAAAAAGGCCTGCGGAGGGCAGCGACCAGCTGAGGTTTCTCCGCCTCCGTCACCATTAGAGGTGAACATCTGGTTCCCAGCCATGATTCACGAGGAGCCTCCTTCTCCTCTTCCTCCTCCTCCTCCTCCTCCTCCTCCTCTCGGCTGTGGCGGAGCAGAGGATCTGGGTTTGTGGGAAGTGGAGAAAAGTCTCCAGTGTCAGTCACAGACTCATGGAAAGTTCTCCCTCAGGCCAAAGGCAGGATATGTTTAGATGATGGTGGCAGCGGTTTGGAGAGGGGGTGGATGGGTAGAGCATTTTTGTGAGAGCAGACGTTTGAGTCCAGGCACGGTGCCAACAGACAAACCGACAAAGGAGAGAGTATAAACAGGAGGAGAGAGGAAGAAGCTGAGAGAGGAAAACAGCAGCAGCAGCAGCAGCAGCTCAGGACATTCCTCCTCAGACACAAATACAGAGCTAATGGTTTATTCTTTTAGTCAGTCTGCAAATCAGCAAGTGAATAAAATAAGACAAGTATAAATCAAATTATTATTTGGTGTCAACACCCTGCGTTTTGAAGGAACTCCACAGGAAGGCCGTCCTCTTGAACCGCAGATCTTCTGAAGATGTCGGTTCGCTCACATCCTTTTGTCTCTTCCCGTAACCCCAGACAGACGATTGGATGACTGTCGAGATAAGGGGCTTAGTTTGGAAAATGAGGTTATCCGAAGATTAAACGATGAAGTTTTTTTTTATATGAAAACAGGCTGACGTGTGGATGTGGCTCTGAAAACAGTCACAACAGACTCACAGGCATTTCACCCGTGAAGTTTTAGACCCTCTGTTTTTCCCTCCTGCAGAGAAAAAAGAAGCCAAAAGTGAGGAAGCGTCTGTGAGGAGGGAAGCCAAGCTTTCACTGAGGTCGACCTACTTACAGCAGCAGCCAAACTCCACCAGAAGGAAAAAAGGCAGAAGTATGGAAAACTGAGCCTGGAAGCCAGCACGAACGCAAGTTCAACTTCACTTTCAAAGAAGGGAAATATTTTGTGAGGACTTTTTTTTTTCCTCTGTCCTCCAGTAAGAATCTGTGAAATTATGCTAAAAATATATATTTTTTTAAATGTAGTGCTGTTATGCACAAGTATGTTATGTTATGCACAACAAACAAACAAACTGGTTATGATGCCTGAAATAAATAATAAGAATGAATAAAGTTTGACCAAAAACAAAACAAAAAATAAGTTAAAAAGGTTGAATTTGACCAACATTTAGATATAGTAGTAAATTAAAATATAGAAAAAAATAATATATAGTTACAAATCCACTGCGGTCCAATGATTTGAAGTGAGTTTTATGTTATTGTGTCAGAGTGTGATTTTTTTTTTCTTGTATCAGTGTTCATGGTATAAGGTGGTCGTCAGAGTTTAAAGGTTGGATTTACACAGGCCACATATTGACTGATACATAAGCTAAGTTGCTGAGCAGCTGTTATATATTTTCCATGGAAGGATAACAGCAAGTGTGTGTGTGTGTGTGTGTAATGACACAGCAGCTCAAACACACACACACTGTAGTCAAGGTCACTGCAAAAAAAAAAATAATCAAGAATGGATTTTAAAAATTTTCTGACCTGTCAGGATTTTTAATTCTTCAAGAATGGATTTTAAATTTTTTCTGACCTGTCAGGATTTTTAATTCTATATAAATGTGAGCTGAAATGAATGAATCCAGAACTTTATATTTCACTGTATTATAGAAGAGGTTCTGATGGAGATCATAGAATCACCAAAAACAAATACAGATTTCATGAAGCGTTCTCTTCTCCGACTCCTCTGTAAAAATCACCTACAGCAGCCGTCGGCGAGAGGCTCAGTCAGAGGAGTCGTTGAGTTCAGACGTGTTTCCTCTGCAGAGTCAGGACAAAGGGGGAGGAAGTGTGGGTGAGGGACAGCTGAACAAACACAGGGAGCAGATAGAGAGAGAGGAGGAGGAGGAGGAGAAGAAGAAGGAGGAGGAGGAGGGTGAAGCCCAGAGTGTTTCTGCTGGGATGCCACGTCACTTGAGCAAAGGCATAAATCTGAGTTAGAGTTTCTGGAGGTCGTCTGCTTTTTATCTCCAGACAGACACGAAGCAGTGAACCAACACTTTGTCCAACGGGGAAACAAAAAAAAAAACTCCTTTTCACTGGAGATCTGTGAACAACTGGACACTGGTCGTTGTTATAAACTGCTCTAAACATGAAAGGACATGGATCACTGATTTAGGAAAAATTTTTTGGGGAAAAGCACTTCAGTTAAAAACTGGTCCTGTTTAGACAAGGACTGGACAGAATTCAGGACTTTTATTTTGGAACGCTTGTACGAGACTGTGATTTAATCAGTAAGTTCTGCTGCAGGTATAATAAAAAACTAAGGCTTTGGAGTTTTTATACATTAGAAAGAATAAAAACAAAGTGTTTTTTATTTTGAAAAAAAATTACAGACAAATAGATTAATGACTGAACTTTCAGCGACCATTTCCAGTTGGAATAAAAAATATTTACAGTTTTACAGTAAAGTGTTGGCTTTAATATCAGTGGGAAAAAAATCTTCAAAAATCCGTGGCACTGAACACCTGGGGTTCAAAGTTTTTAAAGGGTTAAACCTTTTTTTTTTTTTACTGGCTACAGCTCTGAACAGAACTGCAGACCAAACACACACACACACACACACACACAGAGGCCCATTCATCCTCTCTGCTGGCCTGGGATGGACCCAAACAGTGGAGGGTGTGGACCTGAACAGTAGGAGGAGCCAGAGAGAATGACTCAGGAATTCCACTCAGGAACATGTGATTCCTGAGTAAAGCTCACATTATCTCTGCCCCCCCCCCACCCCTCCCCTCGCCCTGGTTCCTCGTTAACAAACCGCTGTGATTGGCTGTGATTTATAGCACATCTAACATCTTTATGATGACAACTACAGCAGTCTGTCGGTTTTGGAACTTATCTTGCTGCACATCACCCTGTCTGTGTCCACTACAACTACAGCACATGGCTAAAAGAGCAAATTTCAGATATTTTTTGACATGGGTGCAATAAGAGCGTGAGCCGCGGAGACCGTGTCCAACGATCGTCCTGTGTCGAGTCAGCAGACGTGCCCACAAAGCAGGGTTATTTTTAGATCCTTTATCTCCCCGCCACGACGTTCTACAGGCGACGTGTGCTTTACTGTACCACACACACACACACACACACACACTCATCCACCCACTCATCTCTGGAAGCCAGTTTGTTCCTGTCAGGAGACAATTGCATCACTGACCCACAGCCTCTGCCTCCTGCTGCTGTGACGGAGTAAAGTAAATCACAGAGACACCAGCACGGGTTATTACAAAGTCTGAAACTGTATTTGGTGATTTTTTTTTTACTTAAACAAGTGCATACATGTACAGCTAAAGCATTTTTTTCCATTTTTATTAACAGTAATTTTTCCTTGCCAAGTGCTCAGATTAGTCACATTTTACATTGGACTGTCCTCTGACTGAAGAGGACAAACGTGAGGACAACACATACCTTTATCTTCAAAAATATAGAAACACAACGTATTGAAAAAAGGGGGAAAAAATTATACAGCAATAGTTTTGAAGCGTCTGCATCCTTCAGTCCGATATGTACATGTCCAAACAGATTCTGTAGGGGGCGATGTTGCCGAGACAAGTCCGATGTTTAATTTTTTTTTACATCCTGTTGTAGCCAGATTATAAAAAGTTTGAGAAAAAAAAAAAAAAAAGAACAGCTGGTGGTTGTGTTTTTATTTAAGGGTCCCTCTCCTTTTTCACCTTGATGTCTCCGGCTAAGATGGTAGCAATCTCACCCTGCATGAACGCCCAGGGCACATTTGAACCCACGAGTGGGCAGCGCTCGCCGCTGGGGCAGTACACCTCCCCGGTGGCACCTTGTTGTTTGATGCTTTCCCGTGAGCAAGGGAAGCAGAATTTGTGCGAGGCCACCGACGGACACTGGACAAAGTGCGTGTCTTCCAATCGCTCATGGCACAGTGTGCAGCAGAGCGGAACGCTGCCTGGCGGCACCGACGAGTCCGGAGCGCTCTGCTGCTGCTGAGGCTGAAGGTGGGGATCCACGTGGGGGGCCGAGGGGTTGGACACGGCCGGCCCTTCTCTCTGGGCCAGCCTCCTCTGAGAGGATGGCGACAGTGGGCTGCCACTGTTTCGTCGGGCCACTGTGGCCGTGGTGGAGTGTACCTGGTGGTTGGCGTCTTTCGGCGAACCCTGGACGCCAGCATTGTCAGTTGCGAGGATTAGTGCCGCCATTGGTGACTGACTGTTCTGGGCAGCAGCCTCGGGGGGAGTGGAGCGGGACTGTGGGGACATGGTGGACGGGGGAGCAGATGAAAAGCCGGGCAGGGCTGTAGGAGGAAACTTAAGTACATCAGAGGCTGACGGCAGCCAGGGCTGGCCTTCGCCCCCATTGAGCTTGGGGGTGCCACCTTCGCCGTCCGGCTCGGGGGATGCCTTCCTTTTCATGCTGCGTGGATGTTTCCCCTTGTCTGTACAGGGCAGAAAGGAAGAGGGTTAATGTCAGAGCGACAGCAAACACATGATATAATGATCGTCACAGTCTGTTAACATAGAGATTCAAATTTGTTCCTTGTACAGTTTGTCTGACATATAATTATAATCTACATATCAGCAGTAAAACAATTAATAAATGGCTAAATCAATAACACACCTTAGTCAATTAATGTTTAAAAATTGTAAATGCAAGAGGTAAACCACGGACAGTGAACGCTCTGGTCTATCACTAGCATTAGCGTGCGTACCAGTCAACATAACCTCCAGATATGGAACAATAAATAAGGCAGACAACCATAAACATCTCACTGTATGATTTATGAATGCACACTGTAATAGTAATAATAAATAAATAAAAATAAATGAGGAGTTTTGTGGAGGCAGAAGGCACAAGTTTGGCCCCACGTTCTGCACTTTGGCCCACCACTTCTAACCACGTCGTAGAAGGCAAACCCCCCCCCCGGTCTGGCCACAGAGCATTTGCACGCACACTAGCATCCACGCTTTTGGAGGCAAACGCGTTTAGGTGCAGCACAACGGCTCTAGTGTGAGAGCAGCCTCAGTCGGTCCCACACTCCCACACCTGCCCACTGCTCCACTGACTCTGTTTCAAGGCCATTCAGAAAAAAATAAATCCAACAAAAACTCTGAGCTGCTGCTGCCACGCTATTAAAAAAAAAGGATAAAAAGTTTGTTATAATAAAAGGTTATCATCTGATTTTGATCAGTAGAAACAGTATATCTTAACATTGTAAATTTATTTGCGAATAATAATAATTATTTGAATTTTATTTATTTATTCAAAATGAGAGATGAGGGAATATGACAGTGTTTTGTTGTTTGAGCCACTGATGTTTTTTTTAATGTTTTCAGCTTCTTCCTCGCACTCTCACGAACATTATTATTGACAAATTTTGAGAGTGTTGCACAATTTATCTGCAGAGGGAACTGTTGTAACTCTGTGTGACATTTACTGACCTGCTTCAAATTGAAAATGTTAATGAAGCGTGCAGAACTCAAAATGCTTTCATTTTAACAGGGCCACATTTTCACAGCGTGATAGTGTACGTGGTAGCTACTGGAAAAGATTTGAAATTTGAAAATGAAAGTTTATCAGATATTATTATTATTATTATTATTATCAAGCTGCACCTGAGCTGTAAATGGTAAAAAGACAACTTTCTACAGATGTCAAAAAGTGCTGTCTGCAGCAGCATTATTTTTAATACTCATGAACTTTCTTCCAATAGCAACTCGTGCCCCAGAACTTAGAAAATAGAAACGCAAAAATGTATCCTGGAGAGTATCACGATTATTGTTCAATGTCCCCAGTTAAAGTAGTCTAGATCTGGAGCTGCGTGTACCTGTTTTGGAGGAGGTTGCCCCGGACTCGTATCCCATGACCCTCTGCATGGCCGCGTGCTCCTTCTTGAACCTTCCATCGAACGTGTGCAGCGCCATCAGGTCGCGCACCGTCTTGCCCTTACCGATCCATTCCTTGTGACTGTCCGTCATTTCGACCAGGTTGTCCAGCCTGTGTTTGTCCTTATGGTCCTCCGACCGCTTTACGAGGTCCGCGGGCCCTGCCGCTACCAGAGCCCCCGATAAAGTCATCTGCGCCGCGCGCCCGTTGAGCGGGTGCACTGTTGGAATGCCGCCGTTCACCAGGGGAACCAGGCTGGGGGGGACCGCGCTAGTCCTGCGTGGGTTGGGGCTCTGGCGGTTTAGCTCCGGGGGTTCGTCCGGCTTAGGGAAGCCGTTAGGCATGGGGAGGCCGTTTGCCTGCCTGCCCTGGTACTCTAGTCCAAGCCTGGGAGGCCGCTCAGACAGCGGGTAGCGGTCCAGGGGCTGCGGGGGGCGGGAGCCCGTCTCTGCAGCTGAATGGTTATGCTCCTTCCCGCTGTGCTGCTGGGGTTTCCCCGGGCCCGGAGAGCGACCATCCTGCAGACAGTGCGCCCGCTTCAGTTGCCGCGCCGTGTCGATTACGAACTCGACACGGTCCGCGCCCTCGTAGTTAACGCAGCCACGACACACAGGCTCGGTAAAATCCCAAATCATGGCCCACGGCATGCGCGGTAAATCGCACAGGTAGCAAGACTGTCGCCTGGAGGCAGCGGCCGCCGCGGACGACATGTTGTTGTCGTCGTGTTTTCCCCGTTTACAATAAAATGTCCGCCGGCTTGTCTGCTGACGTCGCCGCAGTGAGCAAGTACCTCCGAGCGACGCGTCCTGAAAACGCTGATTTCTGTGGTTGTTGTTTATTAATTTTATGTGGTTTCGTCATAAAGTGGCTCAATGGCCGCTGTTCGTCGTCATCGTCTGAGCTCGCGCTCACAACCCAGCTTCAACTCTCAGCGCGAGCGACCATGACGTCAGTGGCGCGTGCTCCCGCAACAAGACGAGCCCTAAAGCGCATGTGCAGTATTGAGATCGTTTTTGTGCGATGTGACAGGAGAGAGGTGTCACTCTTACATCTAAATAATAAAGGTCAACGTTTCATACATACAGTACAAGTATAACTAAAAATGAATTGGGGGGATGGAGTCAAGCCTTGTCATCAAAAAATATATAGATATATGTTTTATTAATATGTGCAATAATGATTCATGTGGTCACTTTGTTCTTAAACTAACTGCACAGCATATTTCGCTTCAGAATAAAATTTCAAAATAATTCTTTTGTGAAGTAGAACTGCGTTACAAGACTGGGCAGAGTGAGAGGTCGTACTTCCCTGTGTTCTTCTCTGTGTTTGTCAGATTTATGCTGCCAGCGTATCTTTTTTTTAATTTCTTAAACGTTTTTCCTGTTTTTGTAAACACGCGCTCACAAATGCTTTCAGAACGTACGATTATAATAATGTGATGGTACAAAAAAGGGAACAGTCACATGTGACGTCACCTGATGCAGAACCAATTAGAGAATTCATCTGCGGTTGCCAGGTAAACCATGTGAAGTTTGATCCTCATTCGTACTGTACCGTATGCCTGTAAACTGTAACGTTGCCTGACGTAACTTTTTTATTGTATTATAACCTAATAATTAGATACACCCAACCAGTTTACTACAGAATTTAAACGCGAAAAAGGACATGAACTCATAATCTGCTGCAGCATTCTGCAATGAGTTTGTCACCAACGTGAAAAATAGGTTTTAATTACAAAAATGATTAGAGTTAGACTCCAGACAATATCTTTACAAAGGATAATGTCTGACAATAACATACAGCAGTCAACCTATTCCTTAAATATTAGACTGATGCTTAAGTAGATTTGTGAGATAAATCTATTTTCTTAATTTCTACTGCTAGCAGTCCTGATTTCTCTGGAAGCCAACTTCATATCTCAGGCCAGTCCTGGCAGCAGGGGGGCGACGTGGGCGTTCACAATACAGTCAGTACTGACTGTGTACAAATACCTCATACATCCCTGGTTCAAACACAATCAGTTTTCCCTTTAATTCACTTTTTGGAATGGTTCCACGCTTTCCTTCCTGGTCAGTCTTTCCGTTGGAGTCTGCAGGGACAAACTGCTAAAGTCATCAGCCATACACACACACACCACAGTTTGCCAAAAACAGCATCAGCACCAGTGCTAAAGTCAATGCGATTAATGACAACTGATGTAACGTCCTGAAAAAAAAAAACAACAACAACAACAACCAAACCACAGCTCCAGGCCTCATCGTGGAACATTATCAGGCTCCACACAAGTTCAAAGCTGGTTGATGGGCTGGTGGGTGGGTGTTGGCTGAAAGGTGGAGTCCCAGAAGATTAGAGGGAGAGTTTCTTCCCCTCCAGCACTAGTTGAGTACAGGAAATCACCCGGAGGTATCAGAACGACAAGATCAAACAGAGTCCAGGGTCTTTGACGGACACACCTTCGGATTACACAGGTGGAGCGCCATCACTTGTCAGATCAGCTGCAACTCTATCAAGGACAGATTTTCCAGCAGTGATGTCAACACCACAGGGCGGAGATTAGAAACACAGGAAGTGGTTTAATGGCACACTGGGTGTGTGAGTGTTTCTATTTTCAGTGCTGCTTGTAAAACTATGAACTCACTAACATCACTGTGGCTGACTGATTCATAAAAACAGAACATTTAAGCCACATTAAAGGGTTCGCTCCGGGTTTCTGTTAAACTGTGGATGGATGAGGTTCTTAGTCACTGGCTGGTGATGCTTTCAGGATTCCCTGAGATTGGTGTAAGATACGAAGGCTGAGGCTCCATGGGTAATATGGCTTCCAGTAAAGTGTATCATTTTAGCAACTTTGAATAAAGACTGGAGGAGTACAATTGTAATAATCATAAGTCTGTGGAATCTTGTAAAAAAATGTTCACTTTATCAAGAATCTTTTACCGCTGGACATCCATGAGAGAGAAATAGGTGAATGAATAAAGGCCTTTGGGTTTTTGACACAGTGGGTCAGAGTGCACTGGGTGAGACAGATTAGCTGGTGTTACATGATTACACAGCTCAGTTATTGTGCAACAGCCACATGACTCAGACAGAGAAAAAGGAAAAATAATGTCTTCACCGATGAAAAATACGGTACTGAGCAAAAAACAGTCAGTCAAATCAATTGTTGTCTTGTCAGAAAATGAGGGTTGTTCCAGACATGATGGAGACATGATCACAGATCATGTGGATGCGGAGGCTGATTCTAACTCTTCTGTCTCTTCCCGTAACCTCAGAGTGACTCAGTGAAGTTGGAACTGTTCATATTGGGAACCTGTTGGGCTCAGTCTAATTGCACCGTGCAGATTTAAGCTGAGACGGTTTTAGACTTTGTTGTACATGTGCACATGAGCGACAGGACTGGTTGACCTGGAGGTGACCTCTGTACATGTGCACATGAGCGACTGTGTAAAACACCAGGTTGTTGATCTGGTACAGGACTGGTTGACCTGGAGGTGACCTTGGTCCGGCTCTCACTTCCTGTGTCTCTGGGCTCAGGATCAGATCATTGGTTTAACTTCAGTGGGAGGGGCTTGGCAGGGAACTACTCTGCCAAGACAAACCTCCTCCATCGACACAACGACTGGGTAGGAGCGCCAAGAACAAGTTGAGAATGATCTGCCCCATGAAGAGCAAAGCAAAACTTGTCCTGATTGGCTAACGGCTCGGCTGCTCTGGACAGAAAGGTGGAATCCAGCCAGCTGAAAATCCAGAGCGAGGTTTGATTTGGAGTTTAAACAAAGAACACGGAGGAAAATCAAGCAAAAGTTCATGCGGCCGTCTCCTGAGGTTCACCTTTACGTCAGTTCTGCTGCCAACAGTTATGTGTGTGTTAGCACTAATGGAAAAAGGATGTGGCTGGAAACCAAAGCAACAATAAACAAACATTACTACCACCACACGGTGTAAAACAAATACATGAAGACGTTTTGTGACAAAAGTCAGGCTGTAGGGTAGGTGATGAATAACCAGGCGTAACGAACCTGTTTGGTTCCTTAGGGACACA